ATTTATTATATAGAATTTTTCGAGACTTTTAATATCTTTTTATATAACAGAATAATTATATGTAGAATAATTAGATAAGAGATATAATTATATGGAAAGAAAGTCATACAGTTCCATACATAAAATATATCATATATTATACCATTCACCATTCTTCAGTAAGAAATGAAAAGTTTCGAATAATTTTTCTTTCTCATGTATTTCTCTCACAATCAAGATATTATTAAAGTCTATTCAAAATTAATATCGTGATTTAATCTGAGAAACATATCTTTTTTCTTGGATTTTTATTAATATTTGTATTTATATTTTCTCCGATCGCCGATAACAAATCTGATGAATTTTATAAAATTCAGACTGATAAATTTTTCATGCAAATTCCGTCATAATGAATACCTACAATGGATAGCTAGACAAAGATTCCATTTTTGTGCATAATTGAAAGTTACGTTACTTCATTAACTTGACATGATAATTACCTCACTGTTGTAATTACTTCACTATACGAATTGGATTCGAACGAATATCATTAATGCAATGTGAACTATTACTGCTATAGTTCAGATTTCGATAAGCATAGTTTGCTATATTTACTTGATTTGCCGAGTTGAAGAATTAAATCATATAACAAAAATTATTGTAATCGTAATTTCTCTTGAGCAAAACAAACAGGAAAAATTGCATTTTAATGATAATTTGCATTTTAATGATAAAATTGCATTTAATGATTCTAATTTATAGAAGGTTTACCGGACAAACATGCGCCTATGTACACACACACACACACACACACACACACACACACACGCGCGCGCGCGCGCGCGCACGTGCACACACGTATAAGACACTATATTTACGGTTATTGCGTTAAAAAATTTGAAAAATGTAACATAACATGCCGCGGAATCCGTACATTCACCGGATCTGTCAGTAGCGATAATAATTACCATCCCTTCCCTGGCTATATTTTCGAGATCTTGACTTGGTTTCTTTCGTCACATAGATAGATCGGGTCGCGGTTGATGACCGGGATTTAATACACTTTCATTGGCGAATTTGGTTTAAGAGATATCTAAAGCACGTGCGTAAGAGAAAACGGCGTTTGCCGAGCGTAACTTTCCGGCCGCACCTCGCGTTATCATCGGCGTAAGGCATGATGCAATTTGCAACGCAATAGCAAAGTCATAGTTACGCACTTTCTCTTTTTGGTGCTCTCGCCGAGAGACCAAGGTGTTGGTGGAACATGAATTTACCAGCAAATCGAGATGTTACGACAACGATACCGTGACTCTTTTTCGTACTTGCTGCACAATTGGTCGCTCAGACAGAAACTTTCAATTGCGTTATTAGGAGATATTTCGTGCGCGAGTTTCCTAAGAGAGCACCAAAAAAAATTCTCTTTTTTTTTCAAAAGAAAGGCGGCCGGGACTTACCGGAGAGTTGAACATCTCGTCCAAACGGTGCTTGCAGTCCTTGCCCTTCTTCGATCTGATGAGCATGTAAATGTGCGATATGTCGGGCAAACATCGCAGAAACTTTTCGATTAATACTTTTCCTAAAAATCCCGTGCCGCCGGTCAACATTATCTTCTGACCAGCGAAAGTCTGAGCCACTCTGTCCGGCACCACTTCGTCCGTTTTGTCGTGTTCCATATTTTGAGCCGTGTGGGAACGATTCTTCGAAAAGCTTCCCTGAAATGATAATCACGGGATTCACGAATGTGACGCGACGGCAATTTTCACGTCGATACATTTGACACGATCGGAGCCCCAAGAATCGCCGTTCGTCGGCCGAGGGAGATGATTATATTCACGTTTTGCGGAACGGAAATGGCGAAGCCAGAGCGCGTATTGCGCGATGAGTAATACATATAGGGCTTGTTCTTTTTAGCTGAACTGCACTAATTCATAGTTTATCTTTCTTCTTCCAATTGTTTTTTTTTTATTAATATGTCTTTTTATTAATATGTGAATTAGTACAACCAGTTTAGCCAAAAGAACTGGCCTATAGTCGTTGCTAACGACAGACTTTTGCAAGATAATTAAGTATTGCGCGATTGTACACATCAAGTTAGGAGAAATATCGCGGTTATTGAAATTAAATCATTCCACGCACTTTCGCAATTCGATGCTTGTCCGGCGCGTTAAGGTGCGATCATACATAGATATATACATATCCAGATATGTGGATTCCCCCTCCACCAATATTTGTTTTTATCCGGATATGACCGCCGATAGTTCGATTTTTCCATCTATGGGCTATGCCCATTGGATATATGAGCGCGAGGTTTCAAAATGGAAACTGACGGAGGATTTAACGAGATTAGTATATAAAAATGTAAAAAATATTAATAAGACAAGGACTAAATAAGATTATTAAGACTATAAAGTTATTAAGAGAACGACTTAATATAAGATTAAAACGATATGTATTTATTGATATGTGTACTTAAATGTATAAATTTTATAAATAATTAAATATTATAAATAATAATATTGATCGCTGACGATATTGATCCTTGCTTAGTTTGTGTGTTTTTAAACTCAATTATTTGTTTTGAATTTTATGAACGTTTTTCTACTTAAAAATTTTAAACATGTTTGTTATAAAATCATGAAGAGTTAAGAAAGCCAAGATCTTACAAAAAATGTAATTCAATATTTTCTTATAATATTTATAATTTCAGCTATCACCAAGCTATATGCCATACGTAAATCAATTTCAAATCCAATATCTGGATATTTGACTCTACATGAAAATATAGGAGACGTTAGCGACGAGATATTGATATCTGGATTTTCCCGTGCTCTGTTTTCGATTATACTGATAGAAGTGGAAGAAATATCTGGATATGTATATCTACGTGAAATCGTTTACATATCTATGCTCGCCAATTGGACAATAGTAACATCCTCGGTGAGCGACAGAGAGAGTCGAAGGAATCTCTTTCCGACACGGATATAGTGGATGATAATATATGTATATCATATGCAATGCTTACTTAATTGTTTATGTTCGCCAAATTACGCGTTTCCTATCGACGAAGAAAGATCAAAGTTGATAAAAGTTACATCTTAGAATAAATAAATGTAAAAGAGTAAACTATATCAAATTTCTTAAGAATCTGTAAGAAAAGATCAATTTTAAAATTATCTTAATCTATGCATGTCAAATATGTTCGAGAAGAAAATAAAAACAGGCCTTACCGAAGAATTAGATATTTCGTTTGAATAATATTTTTAATAATAAATTTAATAAAACTTTTTAATCAGACAAATGTATATTTTTTTTATTAATATGTTAATATGTTCATTGAAAAATGGACAGCCATTTAAGAATTATTTTCTGCTCAAAAAACAGTATCGTATAATATATATATATTTTTTTTTAATTTCGGCTGTCCATATGTACTCTGTGTGTGTG